GATTTGAACCCGCCACCTTAGGTGTACGTGGCTGGCGCCTTAGCCGGTTGAGCTATAGGCGCCGAGCCAACACCTGGCTATTTTTTGTTGCAGTTGTCATTGTTGTTTAGCAGGCCGGGGCTGGGTTTGAACCTTCCAGCCTCGGTGTGTGTGGCTGGAGCTGTAACCACTGTGCTACACGCACCAAGCCAGTCTGCTTCTTTCTTAAGGTACCTGATTACCATTCATTATTAAACAAGGAGATTTTATTTAGATTATGAGACTTTGCAAGTAAATTGGATGAATAATGTCAAGTCCATCTCCCTCCCTTTTAAGCAATCCTTCCTAAATATACCCTTTATTTCAAGGAAGGAATACCACTTCTTTTGCTAAAAATAAAATTTCTTATCCTTAACACAGCCTCCATCGGATCTAATTGTGTAAAGAGAATACACAATTAGACTGTTACAATCGCCACCTGGGACAACATTTCTGACTTAGCCTTTCTTTTGACTTACTCCTCCACACCCCACCCTCAATTCAGGCAACGCATGCACCTTACGTTTATTGCATTCATAGAAAAACTAAGCAGAGAGGACAATAGTTAGATGCAGAAAAAGACAATACTAACAAATTAATATACATGTTCTGACAATTGTTTCGTGAACTCATCCTAGAAACATTGCTACATCTCTTATTGCTGAATGTCACTTAGTCACCAGATGGCCAAACAGAGTCCTTCGAAGGTGACCACAGTGAGATTCAGCAATAGCATACAGCACTTTTCCCAAACTTCCAGACTGAGTCTGATGATGGCTCTGATGGCCATTTCAAAGTTGCTGTGAAGGTTAGACTAGGTGGTGGAATCGGTGCGCAGCTTCCTAAGGGTAGTACCTCAAAGGCGCAGTCAAAGGTGACTGCAGTGATACTCAGCAATGAGGTAAGCAGCATTTTTTCTTTTTTTTTCTTACTTATACATGTGTATATTAGGTTTCCACTTTTGCCTTCACAGAATTAAAAAGGCCAAATTTAATAACAATAAAAATATTTAACATAAGGACCGAGAACAAAAACCTCATAAAGAACGAATGAAGATAAATACCTTCGGAAAAGAAATCAGACGATTGCTGCAACAAAATAATAAGCAATAAGAATGGTAATAATGCAAAGAAAGTAACATTCACATTGTCAGATAGAAGTATGTCTATTATAGAATACTTTGATCAGTTCACTTCTTCTTCTTACTTGGTTTTTCCAAAGTCTCAAAAAAAAAAGGAAACTAATATTTATAAATAAAAGATAATTTCCAAAAAAACAGATCATGCCAAGTCTTATAGACAATAGAAAAAGAATAAAAGAAACATTTCAAAATCATTCATAAGCAGCACTTTTTCTAGGATGAGTTCATGAATTTAATTGTCTGACCTAGTACATCTTTCAGCAGAATTGTTTTGGCAATTTTTTTCTTCGTGACAGTGCCAAATAAGTACAGCAGTGAAACTCAATTTTATTATTTTTAGTGTATAATGGTTTAGAATTTCTGGACCTAAAGTAATCAGATAAAGGATTTTTTGGAGATGTAAAACTTAAGATAACTTGCCATAAAAATCAAAGTGGCATGTACCCATTCCAAAGTGTGAAAGAATACAGAGGCCATTAATATTCATTAAGCATCTGGTGGCAGCCTCTTGGCAGAGGCTATTTCGTTCAACTTTTATTTTCCTTTTCAATGTTTGGCCTTTCTAATAACCCTGAGAAGTAGATTTTGTCATCCGTGGTCATTCAGGGAAAGAAAATGAAGCCTCAGTAAGTTTAAAGAACAATTTGTTCAAGATGACATATCCAGTAAGTTACATTTTTCTTTAGCATTCAAACCCAAGATCCCTCATTTCTAAGGCCTGGGCAGGGGCCCTGGAAGGAAATAAACCATGTCACTAAGTAAGCTGGAAAAAGAATTCTAGATGCTGTCATAGTAGGGGTGTGTCGTGGCCCCTGTTTGGGGATCTTGACTTGACACATTCCCAATTACCACCTGGGGCTATGATGACATACGAGTAAGAAAAGAGACTGGAAGTCCCTTTGAAATATTGATGCTGAATACTTGATGAGCGTGTAATTTCACTCCAGGTGCTCATGCTAAGGGTTCTAACAGCCCTGGTTCAGCACTGTGGGAATGCATCTTCAATTATGAGTTGATAGGCACTGTGCATATCTTTGAGGAAATGGGAGGGGTGGGTAGGAAGGAGTTGTTGAAAACCAGCAAGAGCTGAAGAGGTCAAATCTGAAAATATATGCGGAATAAAGTGGGCTCTGCAGGCCACACCTGCAGCCCGGCCGAGTACTCACTCTGCAAACAGTCGGCGTTTAGGAGGTCCTGACACTTTTCATGGCACTTCACCCCACACTCCAGGCACTTCACACCTTGCCGAGCGATGCCCCAGAGAAGCCCTTCACACTCATAGCAGTAGGTGGGCGTGGTGGCTGTCCAGACCTCAAAATTGTGTGGCGTGGTGGATGACATGGGGTAGATCAAGGCCTGCAAGGTCTTCTTGAAGACGTGCATTTTCTGTGGAGATGAGAGAAGTTCTCAAAGCAAGCCTAATCAGTGGATCTGGAGAATTTTGACATGAAACAAACCGTTTTTTTACTTTTCCCAAATATGCTATTTTGAGAAACTACCTGGATCGTTGATTTAAATGACAGTAAGAATAACTCTGCTGACTCATTCTTCTCTCATTGCTTTCAGGCCTAATTCAGTTGCTAGAACACAAGGAATTTCCTAATCTTCCAGAGTGGACTGGGCTCCACTGCCATGCAGCCCCTTCATAGGAGCATACAGTTCTAATTACTTCCTAGTGGCCATGTTCCTCGACTCCTACAAGAATACTGACTCCATCCATCTTTTGCATTCTACCTTAACCCTCCCTGATACTTCACCACTTCCCAGCTACAAGGAATTCTTCTATAATTTATTCTGCAGAGAACTGTTTTCAGTATCACTTAGGAAGGATTTCATTATTAACTCATTCATAAGAAAGCATAGTAATAGATAAAGGTTTAATGCAGGCGTCCTCAAACTACGGCCCATGGGCTACGTGCAGCCTGCTTAGGACATTTATCCGGCCCACCGGGAGTTTTTGCCGCTGCTGCCTGTCCTGCTTAGCAGCTGACTTGTTCCAGGGCCTGCAGTCCAGCCCTCCAGCGAGGGACAGTGAACTGGCTCCCTGTTTAAAAAGTTTGAGGACCCCTGGAACTTGAATGGGATGCTTTCTCATGGTGCTTGGTATTGCAAAGGCAGCTCATTTGTAACAGCATATGGAAGGACTTTCTAATGATGGCTATTCATGAGGTGGAAAAATCTAAATAGTAGCCAGGAGACCTGTGTTCCCCAGCATAGACCGGGTACATGATATGAAAAATGGACTTCTTTAGACTTCTTCCATCTTTCTCTCCTTGGTACCTAAACAGTGCTGGTCATTGTTCCTGGCACATGTAAATATTGCCATTGTTCCTGGAAATAAACCATGTCACTAAATAAACTTGAAAAAGAAGTCCAGGTGCTGTCATAGTAGGGGTGGGCCTTGACTTTGGGGATCATGACTTGACACATATTGTAATATGTAAATATTGTTTTTTATAACATATATACACACACATTTATGAAAAACAAATAAACATCCTGGTACTTATGAGCCTTATAATTTATATAGAGATGAACAGTCTCTAAAACTCACTTTCCTTGGCTCGTTACCTGTAGCTCAGCAGCTAGGGCGCCAGCCACATACACTGCAGCTGGTGGGTTCAAATCCAGCCCAGGCCTGCCAAACAAAGACAACTACAACCAAAAAAGAAGCCGGGCATTGTGGCAGGCGCCTGTAGTCCCAGCTTGGAAGGCTGAGACAAGAGAATTGTTTACCCCCAAGAGTTTGAGGTTGCTGTGAGCTGTGATGCCACAGCACTCTACCCAGGGCAACAGCTTCAGACTCTGTCTCCAAAAATAAAAAATAAAAATAAAACTGGCAGTGCCTGTGGCTCAAAGGAGTAGGGCGCTGGCCCCATATACCAGACGTGGCAGGTTTAAACCTAGCCCCAGCCAAAAACCACACACACACACACAAAAAATAATAATAATAAATTAAATAAATAAAAATAAAACTCACTTTCCTCCTCTGTTTTGGTAATAATTTTGAAGATCAAATTATATAATGGTAACAAAAATAATCTTTAGAATTCAAAACAGTAAATAAATACTAAGTATTAGTATCTATGGTAGATTTAAAAACAAAACAAAATACCCAAACATAGGCGGATAGACAAGAGAGTGGATTGGCCCAGTTCCCCTCTATGCTTCTATATCTACTCTGCAGGTGACTTTCTGAGAGAAAGACCAGCACCCTCCTAGGTTATGTTTACAGGCAATTTCATAAAACTGCCTGATGCATAATGAATGGATATTTACCTGAATCCTGTGGGAACCACGCTGGTAAGTAATACTAGGAGGGAACCATTTATATTTTGAATTAATTATCCTCAAATATCATTTTAGAATATCTTCCCACAGTGTTGAAATGACCAACTTTCCATTATTTTTCAACTCCACAGGATGATAACAGCATCTCCCTTTATTAGTATATCCCCTCCACTGTGTGTTTTCCCAGAATATATTTGATAATGGTCCTGGGGAGGTTGCCTACCAGGGAGTCAAGTCTTGCTAAAACTTGTTTTTAATTTTACATCTCTTGTGTTTACCAGGATGGAATTGAAGAACATTCTCCTTAGTAAAGTACCTCAAGAATGGGAAAGCAAGCACCCCGGGTACTCAATACTAATTGGAAACTAGTACATTAACATCTACAGGCCCACAATTAAATTCAAGAAAGGAAGGGGGGGCTTTGATATGCTCCCACCTAAAGAGTACAATGTAGGAATATATGGCCACCTCGGGGGTGAAGGACTCAACGACAACTTGGGTGTTACCTGACCCATGCAAACAACGTACCTAGTTGTGTGCACCCTCATATTAATCTGAAATATTTTTAAAAAAGAAAAAACATTTTTCTGACTTTGAACAGCTAGATCCATTCACCAGATTAAGATCTTATCAACTGAAAGGTGTTTACATATTTATATACTTAAGCCAGTCTTCAGAGAAGCAGGATGGTCATCATGGACATCACTCCAGTGGGAGACCCTAGCATGTAGTATAAGGGTTTATAGAGATTCAAAACTGGATACATTATTTTTCTACAAAGACAGCCTGAGCCACGTACACATAAATTTCTTGGCTTCAATTCATAATGAAGCTGTCTCCCAAGGAAGTGTTGAGAGTTCTTTGTGAATCAGGGGTATGTATTATTCATCTTTGCCTCCCCCTTAATGCCTGGCATAGTGAATATCCCCAGTATCATTAAGTGAATTGAGCGATCTTTGGCATAACAGATTTTTCATTAGCCATCCACAGATAGTCTCCTGTTCTAGCTGAGCTGAGGGGCCTAAGGTTCGTGTGTGTGTGTGTGTGTGTGTGTGTGGTCTAGCTGGAAACTAAGGAAGGAATTCAGTTATATCTACTTTCAGCTGAATTAGGCAATTTGTTGTTTGTCTTAAGGAGGGCAATATAACTACTATTGTAATTAAATGGAATATGAAGTGGGAACAGAACAGAGAATGCTAATGAAACAAGAAAAGTAAGAAATATACTATATGCAAATTTAGGCAGTAGAGTTGGGCAAGGGGTTGTTTTTGAACATGAACTTGTTCACATACCTCAAGATTAAGTAAATGATTAATATATTTTATCTAATTCCCTGCCTGTACTTTCTTTTTATTGAATTCAAGTGATATATAGTCAGTGCTCTGAGTCCTTAGGTTATAGTAGGAGTAATAAATTTTATCAACACTTGCTAAAAAATTAAACATGCTGGAGGAAAAGAAATACATGTTGTGAATGGACAGCTCAGAAGGCTTTACTGTAATGTTGTTTGGTTTGGTTAAAGAGCCATAATCCATTTCATGCAAAGGGAGAGTGAGGCTAATTTCAAAAAACAAGCAACATGGAAAATTTACTAGACAGAACATTGAAAATCAATTCAACAAGGACTTAACATAAATTCTAATATTTAAGAGCTACAAAGCTAGAGGAAAAAACACCACATACATTACTAGAGGATCTATATGCCTAGTCCGAGGGAAATAAGGATATGAATCTTTTAATTCTGGATTTCTGGGATATGGGCATGTGTTTATGAAAGCTGAAAATGATTCTAAAATAAATGCCATATGAAAACATTCCAGACTCCACCAAAGTATACGCTGGGGTGATGGTCCTTTCAGAAACATGGGGAATCAATAGCTGGGGACAGCACAGAAGGCTGCTTCTCATAGGAGAAGATTCTCGTATCGCAGGGAATGTACATCTTGGGGGAAGAAGGTTTTTTTCTTCAGGAAGCACTGAGTAGAAGATGGCAGAAGAAAACAAGGGGAAACCCTAAAATTCACCATAGATCACGGCACATGGAAGCCGGTAGTTCGCCATTAGGAATGAGATTAAAGGGAAGAAAATACCTTTTTTAAAAAATGTGTATGAGAGCAGGCAGCTAGATGTTTAGCTATGGGTAATAGCTGAAGAGAAAAGATGGAAAGAGAATGTTATTAAGACAAGGTCTGTGGCCTGAGTAATACATTTACAACCCAACACACAGAAGGAGTATACTTAGGAACAAACAGAAACCTAATTACTGGGATTAGGACCAAGGACAGAGGGATTTGGTCCTATCAGTGACTTGTCCCTGCACTTTTCAAATCTTCTAAAAGAAATAAATATTATTTTCTAAAAAATGTATTTAAGATTACAAGTACATAAATGTACACTTAAATACAAAAATGTATTTAAGATTACAACAAATACATTCTTGTAATACTAATTTATATATTCAATTTAATTTTTGTAAGTTAGGCACAGTTCAATATATACCCTTCTAATATATATATTTTTATATATAAAGAGGATGTGAGACTTTTGCAATTAGTAAAATATCATCATTCCATTGCTTAAGTGATTCCAACAAGGAAGGCAATTTCTAACGTGCGCAGACATCGTATTGAGCTGTAGAAAGAGAGTGAGGAACATTTTCACTCTCTGATAAGCCTATCTAGCCAGCTATAACCTATAGACTACAAAGGGGGGATGTTCACATCCTAGACTAGACAAATATTTTGTTATAAGTCCTCACTCTAAAAAGTAGAGTGAGTTACACTAACATATCACTTTTGGAACAATTCGGACACTGAAAGAAAATGAATTGCCTTTTCTATTCATAACTACCTGAGGAGAGTAAAACCAGTCGGAGGAATGAAGCAATCGGGCATCCTGCCAAGAGCAATGACTAGCCTTTTTGGACCATCAATATTCTAATCTACCAACTGTTAAGAATTATTACAGGGACAAGGCTTGTCTGCCTCGATTTGCCAGATTCTTTCTTCTCTCCTTACGGTGCTTACAAATAACGAAACTAATGAAGATCTGTTTTCCTCCTCATCCTATGGGTTTTCCTGTGGTTATGTAAACGAGCCCTTCTCTACACTCCAAATTATTACGTTTTGATAATTTCAAGAAGAAATATGGTTCTCGTGTTGAAGCATTTTTCAAGGACTTGATGCATGCTTTGTAGAAAAAAAAATATATATATATGTATAAATCCTATTGTTTCCAGACAAAAGCATCAGAAATATTTGCAGAGTAAACAGTAGGTACAATGTAACCTTTGAAATTTATTATAAACATGAAGATAGAGCAAGGCTAGAAGAAGTTCCGAGTATAAAACCAGACATAGTTTCAGGGCTGATTTACCCATGAGATTCATCAGCAGGAGAGACTGAACAGAGAAGCTAAAATTACATAGTTTTCTTTTTCTTTTTGACAGTAGAAATTATAGACTAAAAGTTATATCTCTATCCCTGTAAGAATGTAAGTAAGTTCCTTTTACTACTATTGTTTTATATCAGATACTAATATTCTCCTATGTAACTTGTGGAGTGAGTCCAAACAAAGAGGGCAGAACCATGAGACATTGGCTGATTCGCTAGGGCAAGGAGAGCACAGTTCAGAGGCCGCCCTCTGTTGTGACCCGGCACACAGTCTGAGAATACAGTAGGAGAGAGCTTCCATGTATTACCAATGTCATTTTCTTCCTCTCGTTCAAACTGTGAATTAACATGCTTATATAAATAATGGAGGTGTTTTGAGATCACTAATTTATTAAATATGAGGCCAAAAATGGGTGTGAATTTCTCCATGGGGGGAAAGTCAGCCATTTTAATGCAGAAAGTCTAATTTTTAACCACTGGAATGGAAACTGACAGAGGCCACAGAAGAGGAGTTCTCTTTTATGGCCTGAGAGTTACTATGTCTGGGAAGGAATATGGAGTACCCGAGTGTGGTGTGAGCCTCCGGCCCTGACTGAACTCTGAGTGTTAGACAGGGATTCTGAGCAGCTTTCTTCTTCCATGTTATTTTTCTGGTGTCATGCTAGGCATAGGACGGGGGTCTGATCTCCTGAATACCCCCTCACCTAGCTCTTTCTAGTCCTATCCATTTGGCCAGAATGCTGCTATTGGAAAAATGACCCCTCCATTCTCCTAGACAAACTTCTCCTTACTGAAAATTGAAACTTCCTGGAAGTCTGGAGTTTAGACCAGCCCATCTTAAGATGCCCATTTACCCAGATACAACAAATAGGGCTCTAAAAATCCATTTTAGACTTGGTGATTTGGATTATTCCCTCTACCTGAGTTTCCCACAACCCTCATCTGAGTCTATCTTGGTTTAAACACTCCTGCCTACGAAAAATTTCCATTCTATCTTGTAGCAACAATGGGTACATCTCCAAATATCCCAGTCCCCTCCCCACTCTATTAGAAGTCTTAGAAGGTAGAAATTTTTATCTGAGTTATTTATTCACAGCCTTATTTCCAGTCTGAAACAATGTCTGACCCATAGTCAGCAGTCAGTAAGTATGTGTTGAATTATTGAAGGTATCTGCTTTGATTAACCACACCAAGAAAACAGTCGCTCGGGGGAAGCAAGCCCAAGGACAGAAAGGAGAGTCCCAGGCAGCCTATGGTGGAGTACGGGTCATTGATTGGTTATTCCTACCTGTATGATTAAGCCATAAGGAAAATTTTAGAAACCATAGTTCTTAATGGCTTATTAGACTGAAGTTCCCAGTCAGTCTCAATAGCGCCTGGTGGGTGAGTTGGCGTTGTTGGTGATAGGGCATCTGGAAAGATCTGCCAAGGCAGTGCTCATGGAGGCAGTGCTGGACAACCCACCATCTTCTTGGATCAGGTGTCAGAGCCCCTTCCTTCCTTGAAAGAGATGACTGAATATTTTACTGTGCATCTCTTTAATTACAATAGAAGCACTACCATTTGTTATTTTTCACATCACCAAGCCATTTTCCTTCTTGCAGAGGCAGATATTTCATGCTTACCCATCGAGGCTGCCTAGAATGACATCCAGCACCAAGGGCTGGAAATTATTTGCTTCAGCATTTATGTTAGTTGCCCATGTAATGACTGACTGTGACAGCCTATCAACAGTGACATTTAATACGCCTGTTGTACAGAAGTCATACTTCATTTATTTTTTGAGACATGAGCCCCAGGGAAATGGGCTTTATGAATTTGAGAGGGGGCTCTGTTCATCCATCCAGCACCAACATAGGAAAGTCTTTTAGGCCTTCTGCAGCTGAAGGAGTAAAGTGATCTTTTTAAGTTGCTAAAAAACACATCAATAGCTAATTTAACCATAAAGGGTGGATGTGTTCCTTGTCTAGGACCTCAGAAAATACAGTAGCATGACACTGATTTTTATTTAATTTCTATGGCTTTCCTGCTAACTCATAGGGATGGGTATTCACAGTTTAAATCAAATACCATATTTTAAAACAGAAAAAAGGAACAGTGAAGAATTTTGTCAATAAAATATTCGAACCTTGGTTATTTCCCTAAAAGATGCTTTAAGATTCAGTAAGCAATGGGGAGCTCTCTCATACACTGAAGGATGTCTACCTCTTTTGTATCTAGACCATGCTCAAAATATGCCATTGCATCACAAATCTAATAGATAAGAATGAGACACTAGGAATGCAGTCACATTTATTTTTAATTTTGAGCACAATAGAAAACATATTAACTTGTTGTAGCCTTCAGATGCTAACATGGACATGCATTGTTTTACTGACGTGTATTGGGGTGGAGGAAGGTTGCTAATACAAAAACCTAAGAAAGGTTGATTTCTGGGTGGAAGATGACAATGGCAGAAAAAAGAATGAGAATGAGAAACATAAATAATGTTTTTGAAATGTCAAGTATACAGAAAGTTAAAGCAAGTAATGTAGGACATGGGTAGCACTTTTATTCTAGAAGATCAACAAAGATGCTAAAGTTAAGGGAGGTAGGATATGTTAGTTTCCATAAGGGGGACACAGATCAATTGTCCTGAGAAACTCGCAGCTGAGTGTGCTGGCAGAGTGGCCACAACACGACATTGGACACTCAAAGTTTATTAAAAAAAAAAAAATACAAACCTCAAACCTAAGCTATCAGACTACACCTGAAAGCAATTAAATCAGAACTGCTGGGCATGAGACCCCAGTGGCCCACATTTTAAAGCTCCCTCAGGTGTTTGAATGAGCCAAATTTAAGAACCCCTGACCTAGATATTTGCAGCCTACTAGTATCTTCACCTGAGCCGATTTCTCTCATCCAACTGGAATTTACAGAGTCTCTGCCAAGTGCTGACCAGCACACTAAGCAATGGTGGTGAAAACTGTTAAAAAGAATAACAAACAAGATAGAGCATCCCTCAAGGACATCAGACTTTAAAAGAAAAGGTTCATGTAAAATCAGCAAGTTAATGATAATAGCAAAAATAATAAGACCAGAAGTTCATAATATATTGTTTTCCATGCTCTAGGCTGTGCTGAGTGTTCAGTATATATCTACTCCTTTCATCCTCCTAGTTTATTATTACTTCAGCGTATAGGTGGAGGAACTCGGGCTCAGAGAAGTTACATAACTTGCCAGACACTTGTGGTAACACTGCTAATTAAGCGACACAGATGGGATTCAGACCTCGGGGACTTCACTACTCATCATACTACCATGGATACCATGATTAAATGTTATAAAAGCTCAGAGGAGAAAACTAATAATTCATCTAGAAGGGGAGAAGGGTGTTTGGGGAAAGCCTCACAAAAGAGGCAAAACCTAAATTGTGTTTTAAAAAAAAAAAATAGGTGGCAGGTTCAAACCCAGCCCTGGCCAAAAAAAAAAAAAAAAAGCAAAAATAAATAAATAAAATAAAAAATTGGATTTTTTTTTCCAGGAGGAGAATAACAGGTGAGCTACATTAGGCTAGAAAGCATTCCTAAAGATGAGAAGATGCATATGGTGTGAGGAGCCAGGGTAGATTTGGTATGATAGTGAAGCTGAGGCCTTAAGGAAGGGGGTTTGGCATCTGGAGTTCCCATGCTCCCAGTTATAGCTGGAACATTGGCATAATTATCACAGTTGAGCATCTCAAGCAGAAGGGTTTTCCTTCTACGACTATGATCAATATATCGATAGTGATTGACATTGCACCTACCAGTTCCTCATTGTTCAGTGAAGTCCTAATCACCATAGCCAGGGACAGTCCAGATTTCCGGGCAGCCAATGTCTAAAATAAATAGAATTATGACTTATTAATACATAGAGATGTTGCCATGTAGATAATGTTCATCAGAAGGTAAAAAAAGAAGAATATGAGCTACCACCATTCATGTTTTAGGTAATAGGGACATTCCATTTTCAGTAATCAGCCAACACAACTGGAACATGGAATCACAGGACATTAAAACTGGAAAGACCTTGGAGATCACTGAATCCGATCCTAAACTTTATAGATGATGAAATGGAGGCCCAGCAAGGCATGGTGACCAGCCCAAAGCTTCTAGGGTAGCAAAAGGATCATGACCACTCCCTATAGTGGTCACAATCACAATTTTTTCATAAAACAGGACATGAAAGCCAGCCTAACTTAGGTGATACTTAAGGTGACCAGATTTTAACATTGGTAAAGTGGGACACCATTGACTTGAGGGGTGGGGGGCTACTGGCTGAGCTGTTTATGGTTAGGGACCCTCTGGGGGAAAGGCTACTTATTTGTTCCAGACAGATTGGCTCCTTCTGAGCTAATTGTCCTTGCCCGGAGGGAGCCAGTATCCTTCTGATACTGATTCCACCTGGGTGACCTTGCCCAGGAGGGGAGTAGGGAGTTTACATTAGCCTTTTCATTTCTAAATGAAGTTACATTAACCTTTTCATTCCCAAATGGAGTTACATTAACCTTTTCAGCAGCCACACGGTATATTCCCTTCCCATTATCCCGCCCTTCCCTAGATTGTCGTGCATTCTTTCCAAAAATCGGGACTTTTTAAAAATGCTGCAGGACACAGGACAAATTGTTAAAAATCAGGACTGTCCCGCCAAAAGCGGGACATCTGGTCACCTTAGTGATACTCCTGAATTATAATTGGTATTAGTTGGTTTTTTAATTGTTCACAGTTCCCCAGAATGTTCTTCCACATCTTTTCAGAATATTTTCTTCTGAGTGTTCCTTTTACCTCCTAAGAAACATTATATCTGCATTGATTTTCCTTACTTAAATTTCTGTAACATAGGTAATTTTAAATAAGAATCAAGTCCCCTTAGTTCTCATACCTATAAAACAGAAACATCATCCCCTGTCCCTACATAAAACCATATGCAATACAATAAATCTGGCCATGCTGTAGAGAATTTTGGAAAGTAAAAGTTCCATATAGGAATATTAAATCTGATATTCCACGAGGAGCAAAAGGAAGTCACAGTGAAATAATGCATTCCTGATCATCCCTAGCCTCATGTGGTAATAAAAATATCTCCTTGGGCATTGTCATCCAATCAGATAAAATTCAGGACATATCTGATTAAGGATGTCTGTCTCCATTCATCTCAACCATACCATGGGAACCTATGAAAGGTTTACCTCCAGGGTAAACCCAAGATAATCTTCCATCTCTGATAAATAGTGTCCCTCTACTTACATTTGTCTGTGTTTGTTCCTGTGGTATACATAATTGGGTCTTTTAGAATTTAACTACATGTTAAATCTTGGAGAATTCAAACTCCTTCATCTTGTATGTCTCTGTCTTTTGATTTCTCCATGTCACCCTCATTTACTCCATGAGTAAGTGCAGTGTATGTTTGAGAAGACTGACAAATATTAATGAAATAAATCAAAACTTACCATGGCCTGAAGATTCCAGGAGTGAGAGGAAACAAAGTATGGATAATTAGACATATGAGAGTTAAGAAAAAATACATAACAATGTTAAATTAGCCAAACAATTCAAAATAATGTCTGCACAACAAAGGCAGGAACTTAGGCTAATGGTACTGACATGTCATGCTTTCCAGTCTAAGACCTTTCCAGTCCAGACCATAAGTTAAAACCAAAGTGATAGTCTTAAGAAGCCAAGTTTTCTTAGCAAAATTAAAAATTACTTATATCCAAAATTATGCATATTGTGGCTAAAAGGGAATTTAGGCTTCTCTGGGGGAAATACCATTTTTTATACCATAAATTATTAAAATATGCCTATAAAAATATGATGACATTTTGGACGAGAGAAAATACTTCCTTTTCCAGGCTTATGGACTATAATTTTTTTAATTTAATACAGATCACTATCAGTTCTTTGCTTTTCAAAGTGGTTTCAGCATATTTCATTAGAGGAGAATGATATATTCAGAGTCATGACCAGGAATAATAAAGATTTTAATGACGTGGAAGCTATGGTTTTCTTTAGCTAGTAAGAGAGGTTGTTAATTTGGCTAGAATTGACCTTAGCAGAACTAAGAGCAGATTGATACTATCTACCTGCTTTCTAAAGTATTCAAGTGTATTGGGTTACAGGAAAGAAGTTCAAATTGAGCCTTAAACTTTGCAAATTAAACTTGTGGTCATTCATAACACTGAACATATCAAAGCCCAGTTGCAGGAGCTTAGCTGGCATGCTGTGTAATTTCTTTTGCTCAATCATAGGGTCATTTTAACTCAATTGTAATTTCAGCTAATATCAAAGCTGTCAAAGGGTTAGAGTTATTTCCTCCATCTAATTGATTTTTAAAGTAATAATAAATAGAACACTTGGTAGAATGTGATCTCATGTATTTTATTCTGTAAAATACTCACAGGCTAGGCAGTTGATGAGAAGGATATTTCATTTTAGTAAAGAAAAAGGCAACACATGAAATCAAAGAGAATTAAAAAGGCATAACTCACCACATCTCGCACGATAGGCAAAGTCTTTTTCCTGCGGAGATCTGGCATACTGTCAATACCATAAAGTCCCCACCCAGCCCTGAAAGGGGAAAGAAAAGCAATAAATAATTTCCATGGGTAAGATGACTTCCTATGACAAAAAACAAAAACACTGTTAAACACTGTTATGCTGTTGAACAACATAAAGGCTGTGAAAAATATTAAATAGATAAATGGCTTTCAATAAATTCACAAAGCAGCAAAGATCCAAGGCTCTAGGACTTGGTCCAGCATGAAGCAAGAAGACTCTAGCTACCAGCCACACCTGTTGATTATTTGTCTTCTTTGATAGTTCCTTTAAGATCAACATGGCCTGGTTAGAGTCACTGCTTTACACAGAGAGAAGAATGAAAATTATTAGATATATGGAACTTTGTACTGTTTCCTGCTGTACCAGGAGGAAACAGAACTTATTTTTTGGTGTAAGTTTTGTCTGTCTGCAATGGTAGAGAAATTACATTTATTCTAAAAATAACATTTTTATATGCTTCATCTTTGCAGATTAATTGCAAAGATAGCATCTCAAAAGGTCATGGACATGTTGAAAATATCAGTGATTACTTTATACCAGAAGTTCCACTTATCTGAATTTATCCCACAGAAAAATGCACAGAATGAAGTTGTTGCATGAGGATGTCCATTACAATTTTTTGTAATAGGAACAAAAACTAGGTTATCTCCATAGTCATCAATAGTATACTGATGAAATAAATTAATGGGAAGAGTGCAATAGTTAAAGTGGAAGAGATAAACATATACGTATACATATAAAAATACTCAAATATTTAAAGTAATAAAGTAAAATTTCCACATTAGTAAATTTAGTACGATCCCAAATGTGTGCGTGTTTGCATATGTACAGAAAATATCCAGAATAATCATGAAATTGATAACTATAGTTTCCTCTGTGGAGTGACTAGGTAAGGGAAAAAAAGATGCTCACTATGTTATAAATCTGGTAATGGTCATTGTTTCTTATAAGCACACATCATTTCACAAAATATGTTTAAAAGAGACGTGAATCTGTATGTTTCTTAAAAAATGAGTTTGACGCAATGAATTTGACTTTGTACTGCATCAAATCTAGTCATTTTATAGAACCAAAAAGATGCTAGAATCACTGACGATAATAGCATCTCCTTGTGTTCACTTGAACTACAAACCTCTTGCTGACCTCTTGCTTGGGGTCAGCTGATTCACCATGAACAACACAGTTTATGCCTCTGGGTGCTAGCTGGGCAACTGTCGTTGAAATAAACTACAAGAGCCAATGATAGGCTGTCAGCATTTTATACTCCAATTTCCCACTGACAAGAGAGATGGCCTCCATGTTTGTGTTGCTTAGCTTAATAAATGGTAACTTTTGTTTCTTAGTAGCCACACTCCTAACTTGAACACTTCTTAAAGTATCAATGACTAGCATGATATTTTTGCACAATTCACCAAATGTATCATATAATTCAGGTTTAACAGTCATAAAACAAAATAGCAATATTGATAAAAAAGTAATAGGTGAAGAGCAGTAACACCCTAACTTTTAAGTGAGGCTCAAACAGTGAGTGTGAAATACTAAAACCATTGCGAATGTACACAAAAGATGTCAGTGATAAGCAACGTATTCTGTCATACATTTCAAATAAAAGTTATCTTTAGATCACAGAAGAAGGGAAAGGAGTAAATGTGGACCAGAGATTACGAAAGATGAAAGGAGAAAAGAAGGTAAGAGAATGTGTACAGAAGGAAGGGTGGAGTTTACGATCCTCTCCCCAACCAACTGTATGATACAGAAGCTAATGTGGTTTCCCTAATTGCCCCTAATAATGCCAATTGCCATCTTTTAGGTAAAGGGCTGTGATAGGCACAGCCCTGTGAGTCAAAGTCCCCATCATCAGAATGTACACTTACTGCTCCATCAGGTAACTTCTCACTTCCCTCCCGTCCTCTTTCTGTACTCCTTCCCTCTCCCTGCCAATTCACACATGACCCTCCCACATTCAACACATCAAATACAGGGGAAAGGGGGTATGTGAATTATTTCTTGAAAAAAATCTTTCCAATCAAAACAGCATGGTATTGGCACAAAAACAGAGACACAGACATTTAGAACAAAATAGAAAACCAAGAGATGAAACAAGTCTCTTACAGCCATCTGATCTTTGATAGAACAAACAAAAATATACACTGGGGGGAAAAATCGCTATTCAATAAATGGTGCTGGGAGAACTGGATAACCACAGGTATAAGACTGAAACTGGACATGCACGTTTCGCCACCTACAAAAATTGCTTGAGATGGATAAAAGATTTAAATGTAAGGCATGAAATGATCAAAATCCTAGAACAAAGTATAGGAAAAACTCATGAGGATGTCAGCCTGGGGAAGGATTTTATGAAGAAGAATTCAGGGGCAATTGCAACAACAAAAAAAAATAAATTGGACTTAATTAAACTGAAAAGCTTCTGCATAGGTAAGGACACAACAATCAAAGCAAAAAGACAACCTTCAGAATGGGAAAAGATATTTGCATATTATGAATCTGACAAAAGTTTGATATCTAGGATCTACAGAGAGTTCAAATTAATCAATAAAAACAGAGCAAACAATCTCATCTATCACTGGGCAAGACACATGAATAGAACCTTCTCTGAGGAAGACAGATGAACAGCTAACAAACACATGAAAAAATGCTTTTCATCCCTAATCATCAGAGAAATGCAAATCATCAAAACCACCCTAATATATTATCTAATGCCAGTAAGATTAGCCCACATCACAAAGTTCCAAAGCTGTAGATGCTGGTAGAGATGTGGAGAGAGGGGATCACTTTCACACTGTTGGTGGAACTACAAACTAATACAGCCTCTTTGAAAAGAAGTATGGAGAATCCTCAAAGAACTCAAATTATATCTCCTATTTGACCCTGCAATCCCATTACTAGGCATCTACCCAGAAGAAAAAAAAAATCATTTTATCATAAAGACATTTGCACTATATTGTTTATCGCAGTTCAATCTACAAACACCAAGATGTGGAAACAACCTAAATGCCCATCAACTCAGGAATGGATTAACAAACTGTGTATATGTAGACAGTTGTGTAAACATATGGAATACTATTCAGCCATAAAAAAGAGGGAGACTTTACATCTTTTGTATTAACCCGGATGGAATTGAAACACCTTCTTCTTAGTAAAGTATCACAGGAATGGAAAAGCTAATATCCAATGTACCCAATACTAACGTGAAGCTAGTAGATGATCTAATTCAGGCCCACATAGGAGAAAACCTCATTTCAATTCAAGCTGGGGGGAGAAAGAACCTGGGGAAGAGTTTGGGGTGCTCCCCTGAATGGGCACAATGGTGTACATAAAAGGTGTATGGCACACCTTTTGGGTGTGGGACACAACTATAAGAGGAACACTACCTAACAAATTCACATATTGTGACCTGGTTGTTTGTACCCTCACATTAACCTGAAATTAAAAAAAAAAAAATCCAGATTCATTTACTCCAATCTCAGGCTGTGATTCAAAGCAGTTTCTACTTTTACCTCTCTGTGAACAATATTAATAATGACCTAAAGTATGCAGGAATAGAATCTCCTTCCACCCCAGCACAGGTTAATGACACCATCTTGCTATCTTCAATTGTTTTGAAATCTTTTAGCTCCTAAATAATGTGACTCTCATAGCTATGTTAAGAAACATGCTCAATTCAGATAATGGTAGAGAAAGTGATTTATAAACTGCAAAGTGTTATAAAAATGAGTTGTATATTTTCTTCCTATCAGCAATCACTGTTTTTTCCCTTTATGTTTTCTCTCTCAAGAAACTTAATTCAAGTTTTCAAGGTGCACCCAGAATCCTGACTTCGGAATTAGTTATACATACGAATACATTTTCTTGGGGCTGACACTTCTCTTCTATGCTTGTACCATCAGAGAAGAGATATCCAAGGCTGCAGGCCAAGTCTGAGCAATAATGAGTTCAAGTGAGAAGAAATGCATTTAAAATTTATCTCTGCCTCTTCTGAGTTTGTCATTTAATTTTACTGAACTTACATTTGGTAATTTGGAAAATTGCACGACAATAAAATTGCTCTATTAACCTTCACAGGTAGCCTCAAAAATGTTCTTTATCATGTTTTATTTCCTCATACTTTTACATTTTCACCATTAGCTTAAGAAACTGAGATAAACATACACTTCCATGAGCCTATCTACCGATTAATAATAAAGCAAACTTAGACCTTTAAAAAAAGTCTGCCCTATTGGCTCTCATGATTAGAGAAGTACCTCTGAAGGTCTACACAAATGCAAAATATTTTTGTAGTGTTTATCAGAAGGTTTCCTAACCTTCTGTGCAAGAGGTCAAGTTCATGTACAATAATTAAAATCCAGAAGAAATAGTCTAAGTTTCATGAGGAAGTGAGAGGAAGTCATCAAAACAGGCCATAGCAGACAAGTAACTCAGAAGATCAGGTCTCATTCTAGGAAATAAACCGTTTGATTTCCATTCTTTTTCTTATGGCTGATTGAATTAAGATGACCCTGAATATAGACAGCAAACTAGCTAACAATAGCTGATATTTATGTGGTACTCGCCCAGGGCCAGATATAATGCTTACATTTACTGAGTACTTATTATTCCAAGTACTTTACTTAAATTACCTAATTTTTAAAATATCCGATGTAAAATAGGTGTAACTTTCCCCTTATTTAATAAATGAGAAAATAGAGACATAGAATTTTTCAGATTCATCCCCAAGGTTACTACCTAAGTAAGAAATGGCAGAGTCAGGAATTGAATCCATGGTCTATGGCTCACCATGTTCCATATTTACAACAGTATGAACAGGGGAGGGCCGTGGGGGGGGGCGTGGATGGTTAATCTAATTTACACTTAATGAAACTAAACAATTACTCAGGTCCAGATCATACAGCCAGTTATGGCACAGCTTGATATCCTTTGCAGCCTTATTTTACCTCTAACTTCACGTTCTTAATAATCTGCAGGTTTTGAGGGGGGAAGATATACGAGTC